ATATCATATGATCATCATAGGACAGCCTGCTTGAAACTCGGGCTAACAAAAACTTCTGTCTCTCTATTGCATATATTTTCTTTTTTCCTTCGGTTTGTTTAAATCGATTGTGATGTGACCTCTAAAGTTATTATCTACTCTTGTGCGTATTTAAAGTGTTTACAAGCTCTTGATTCACAATTTCCTACTAAAAAACTTGAGGAATGACCTGATTATGGGTGGTAAATTTTTCCAATACATGAGATAATTGTTCTTGAGTTATGTCCTTGAATCTCAAGATGTACTTCTGAACAGCTTACAATTAGCTTTCAACCAGATATCGTGGATTTCTTGAAGGAGACAAAACTGATATATATATATATATATACATACATATTGTCAACAAAAGTATAGCTTTCAGGGGTGAATGTAGTCACTGGTGTGTGAGACAGTATGAATACTACAGAAAAATAAAATAACAGCTGGGATAGGCTAGTCGTAATTTCAATTTCATCAATATACTTGTTCCTCAATACATCTTCTGATATAATTTTAATTTGCCTTTACTGGCTAATGCATGCTAAAATTAAATGGATTTATAATTGTAGAGCCTGAAGAAGAATTTTGCTGAAACCACTATTGTTGGCTCTAATTATTTTTCTTCTGAATAAATTATGAGAATATTCAAGTTACTTAACAATATAAAAGATAAAATATTTAACTATGAAAAAGCTGACTAAACAAACTAAATGAAATTAGGAATTAAAGTTTTCAAAAGTGGTTGTGACATAATTTTAGCCAAAAAATTTTGTCACATAATTCTGCTGATACATCGTGAAGAAATTTTCTGTCATGAAAAGAAAATTCTTCAGTGCTATTTGTCGAGATGACTTCGAATGTCTATGAAAGAATGTATGTGTGCATCTTTGTACACTTATCTGATAATATGAATTTGAATAAGTCAAATGAATGACTTGAGTAGAATAAAAAGGAGATGTCATTTTGTTTCACCGGTTTATTAAGTATATGTACAGTGAGACTTTTAATGTACCTTCAAAGCTGACAGTGTCAGTTAACAGCAGACTTCAAAAGAAATAAAATATCATATGAAGTTGTAGTTCTTTTGTGGTGGGAGCTGTCTGCAAGCTAAAAATTGCAGACAGCAATTTACGTCAATGTTACGTCTCGAATCGAGGTCACGAGAAAAACAACAATAACAAAGAATAACCTTCAGGAACTCAACAACCAATCACAGAAGCCTTGAAGTGTGCCAATACGATTCGCAGATGTAGGGCTTAATTTTCTGATAAACGGTCACGAACAGTACAGAATAACCTTCAGCAAGAAAACAACCAATCAGAAAACGTTGCTTCTCTGCTAACAATAACGCTAATAATAATGTACATAAAAATCTATAAATATCTGTTGATTTTCTGAATAAACGATCTGTTTCCTGGCTTTTATCTTCTGTCATTACAACATAGCTTATACACAACAGTTTCAAATTAATTTCTGAGGAAGTTGGATACTGCCGTAAAAAACGAAACACTGTTGAAACCGTTCCTTCGTTTGAATTATAACCTAGGTATATGATCAGACAATCTAACGTTTGTTTCTCTTTCTATTCTACTCTGCGAATGTAACTTCTACCGCTAATACATTTAGGTCGGTATATACAGTTAAAACTAACGTGGGAAGTATAACTGTGAACCTTTGGTTTCACAAAAGAATATTTTGTTCGATAAACGGGAATTAACTTGGCTGCAGTATAGACTTTGATGTACAGAAAATACTTTTTCATTTGGTGAAATATTAGGAGTAAATGTTATGTATTTAAATTTCCTAGATTTATTAATACTGAACTCTTAAAGATTCTCTGTACTTTTCATTCTGTCACAATATGTCTGAGTAACTTTCTTTTAATTTGTCATTAGTAAAGAATTAATTTTAAGCAATAATCAAGACACTGTGTTCATCTTTTGTAATTTAGTTGATACCTGACTTTTTTTGACATTATCATTATTATTACTATTATTACTAGATATGAAGTTATCAAGATGTTCAAGTTATGAATTTATAATTGAAAATAACCACTTTTAATGTGCATATATACAGTCAGTGTTTGATGAAATCATCTGCTGATCTTATTTGTTTAAGTCAGTCCTCCTATTATTGGTTCATTGTAACATCCACTTTTACAAGAAAAAAGCAAAAGTAGGACCTACATCAAACTGTTGAAGATGATATTTAGTAGCAACAAATACAGCTTGTTACACATAAATCCAAGCTTCTTAGTCATCGATTTTAGTAATGTATTCAAAATACTATCGCCATGAATAAATATATATATATGGACTGGAGATATAAAAGTACATCAATCAATCAATCGATTTATTCATTAACTAAACCTTTGTTATGATGAAATATATGGATGTCTTTTGAACATTTATTAAATTTCATGACAGTAAATGTTGATCTACTTTTTTCCACCACAAAATATGGTAGTTTATGTAACGTCTTAGGCATTCAGTGTTAGATGGTTGGAGGCAATCGGTAGGAAGCCCAGTCTGACCTAGGTTTCGTCCTAGCTGGCACTCGTCAGCAAGGCGTATCTGCAACCTCGAAGGAACTCATGTCCCACCCCTCTGAGATTCGAAGTTGCGTCATCCGGTGCTGTAGTCAAAGACGTTGCCACTGAGCTATTTAGACTCGTGATTGACTTCCTGTAGGACCGTATTGGATATTTTTGACTGGACACTACTCAGTAACTGGTGTAATGCGTCTAGTCCTATCTTAGGTACAGAATGAATTCTATCAGTCAAGTTTGCAATGTGGCCACCATGCTAGGTGGCTCACCATCACGGTGCACTGTGAACTGTTGGTATTATATGGTTGGAGGCAACTGGCAGGAAACCTTAGACCTTGGCATTACCTCCAACCATCTAATATGAACAATTCATAGTGAACCGTGATGGCGAGTCACCTAATGGCATGGTGGCCACATTACATACTTGACTGATAGAATTCAGTCTCCACCAAAGATAGGACTAGATACGGACACACATTACTCTATTTACTGACTAGTGTCCAATCAAAAATTCCCTTCAGTATTAAGTGATTTGTCTACTCTACTAACTATATTTGAAATTCCTCCTGCTGACTTCATATGTAATTTGTAAATTAATTTAATATTACGGAGTACCCTGATTCCTTATCTACATTCATTCAGTAGCTATATAACAATGCCACATGTCAGTTGATTCACGCAAGGGAACACTCAGCGAAGCATTTGAAGTGAACACAGCAGTGAGACAAGACTGATTACTGTCATCCATGATAATATTCTTAATTCTGGTGGACTGGATTGTGCAACAGACAGTAATGGGGGAGTGAGAAGACAGGAATATGCTGGGCTAATATGCAGACTCTAGAAGATTTGGATATCATGAACGATTTATGTTTGTAATCACACAAACTCAAAGACTTACAAGGGAAAACAAACAAGTTGACAGAAGAAGCAGAAAAGGCAGGAATTCGAGTGAACATAAGGAAGACAGGGTTGATGAAGATAACCAACCAGCTAACAACAAGCGTCAACAGTTATCAAATAAAGAAATTTCAAAGTGATCACTTCCTTCACTTATCTAGTCAGCCAGCATCGTTACAACTACAGCTGATGTCACGCATAAGGATGTCAAAGCCAGTCAGGATTGGAAAGGCAAGACAAACCTTTATCAATCTGAAATCAGTTTGAGAATCTCCTGCACTCAGTATTAAGAATAAAATTCTGATTTTCAACACCAATCTTAAGCAAGTCAGTTCTTCTTCTTCTTGGAGCAGGCGTCACCAAAATCATTTCTAACAGACTGCGCACTTTTATCGACAACTGCTTTCGCTGTCTGGATATTCAAGATCAGTTAGCCAGAAAAAATAAAAATGCGGGAACTCAGGTAACAAAACAATCAAGAACCTATCGGCCCACAAATATCCTGATGAAGATGGAGATGGATCGGACAAACGCCATGGAGACAGTTGAGTTAGTTGGTAGATTATCAAGTCTATGAGTGAAGAAGCGAAGTATGTATTTTCCGCACAAGGGGTATCAAAGATTTTAGGAATTAGTGGTGTAAATTACTGATAACAGGAACTTAAATATTTCCTTTTTCTGTGTATTTATCTAACCTTCAAAGTGCTAAGTGTCCCCATTATTCTTCACTTAACTAGTATCCTTAGATTTTTATGCTGTTTTATTCTTCTCCATCATTTATTCTTTGTTTGTTGCCTTGGAATGTGATGATATGAACTGAAGAAAAATTGTATACAAAGGTCTGTTTCTTAACATTCGGTTTCTGGAATAGGTCTTGCATGTTTCAGGGTGTAAGCTGTGCTTATTTTCCAAGGGCTGCTGATATTGTGGTGAGAGCTGTCTGCAAGCTAAAATTGTAGACAATAATTTACGTCAATGTCACGTCCCAAATAGGGGTCATGGGAAAAACAACAACAACAAAGACTAACCTTGAGGAACTCAACAACCAATCACAGCATGCTTAAAGTGTGCAAATATGATTCGCAGATATGTAGCTTAACTTTCTAAGAAACTGTCACAAGCAGAACAGAATAATCTTCAGCAAGAAAACAACCAATCAGAAGACGTTGCTTCTCTGCTAACAATAGCGCTAATAATAATGTACATAAAAGTCTATAAGTATCTCTTGATTTTTTCTATAAACGATCTGTTGCCTAACTCTTGTCTCCTGTCGTTACAATACTATCAGTTAGGTTGAGCAACATTCCAGCCAGGGACCAACCGGTTGAAAGTCGACTGCTCAAGCCAATTATTCGCAAACATATATTCGTTTTGCAAGGATATATCCCGAATTAAAGAGAATTTCTAGGTGGTTTATCAACGCAAACATTCTATAAAAATGTAGTCATAAACTGACAGGTTGTCTGTCAACAATAAACATTGAGTAGTGTGATTATTTAAATTTTTCTAAACATTCATTTTGTTAATAACCTACCTGTATTTCTTGTCATTTTTATTTGATCATTGAGATAACTTGAATGTAAGTCATTCTTGGATTGTGTACTTATTTCATTTTTAAAGTTTTCCATTTCAATCATATCTTGTTTATTATGTTTCGTAGACTTAGATTTTATAAATAAGTGTCTACTGTTAGGCTTCATTGATCGACTGCCCTTGATACTTTCAAGTTCACGTATACCTTCATCGATTTTTATAAGTTGAGCTGTTTTACACCTTCTTATATGTGCTGTATTATTCAAAGAATAATAACTGTTATCTCCACTAATACTACATAATGAACTTGGTGTTTCCATCTTGTTATAACATATTGTTGGTTGAAAATTATTCTGATGATGTAATTGTTTAAATTTTCTATTCACTTCATCATTGTAATCTGCATTAGTATTCTTTGTATAATTTACTTTGAATGCAGGTTTCCATGCTGGTCTTTGATTAATTGCCTTAATTTGTGATTTTTTTCTCTGTATACTTAGAAATGATGGTGAGGTAAATTTAAACCTATGTGAGCAATGATTGTCTTCATTTTGCATATTTAACAATCGCTGACTGTTTTTATTATCACCATCATCATGATGATATTTCTGTAATACTACCGATGGTATATTTGATGGGATATAATTATTTTTAATGATTGTGCAGGGTGTATCTTGCTGCAGCATTTTGTAAATTTCATTTTCATGAAGATTATTCTGAAGAAACTCATTTTTACCGCCATCATCGTATAGGCTATTGGTTAATCCATTGTCATTAATATCATATGTAGTATGGTCACCTTCAGTGAAGAATCTATTTAATTCCACTTGATTATTATTATCATTAGTAATTATATCTAATGGTTTTATATTACTATCCTCCTTACAATTCACATGCTTTGTTTGACGAATTAAATTGTTTGTTTTAAGGACAGGGTTATAGTGAACATTTCCCTTTGACCTTGAAATATTTATACCCATGCGACATAGAATTATTACAATAAAACAAGATATTATTAGGAAAATAATGTTCCATTATTATTATTATTGTTATTATTATTAAACATTGTTGTAATTTATCTTTACCTAACATTAAGACAGTAAATTTGTTTCATTTAGATGACTCAAAAGATTTGAATAAAATAATCAATAATTATGATATGCATAATATAATCTTATATTCTTGAGATAGTATATGTCCGAAAGGACTATTAGTTAAATGGAAAAAAAAGGATTATGAAGAGTCAAAACTATTCTCAAAGTTATCTGACAGTTAAAAATCATAATAAGACTTACCATGTTTATGTATAGAAAAACAGTTATTTGTGTTAACACGTAATAGTCAATAGATAGTTATTTTCTAATTTCCAAGCAAACGAACTCACTGAAGTCATGTGACCATCTAATCCTTTGGAAATCTGCCATATGTGATATTCAAGTATTGGTTTGTGGAGATTTGGTTGATTGGTTACAAGACTTCATTATGAGCTGACATCGGTTAGAGATTCACTGGAGTACTGGACAGCTGTTTCATCCTAGTTTGGGACTCTTCATCAGAAAACACACCCACCAGGGTTCGAACCCACGATCTTCCCGTTACAAGGTGGGCTCTCAGACAATTAAGCTATTGGGACCCAATCCAATGGCTCATGAATCCCAACTACTGCCAATTCACGATATAGCATGACCATCGGCCAATGTCCTACAGGAGGTCAATCGTGAGCCCGAATAGCTCAGTGGTAACGTTTCTGACTGCAGCAGTGGGTGACGCGGATTCGAATCTCAGAGGGGTGGGACATGAGTTCCTTTTGCATTGCAGATACGCCTTGCTGACTGACAAGTGCCAACTATCACGAAACCTAAGTCCAAGGCTTCCTGCCAATTGCCTCCAACTATCTAATATCATCAAATCAATGTACACCATGATGGCGAGCTACCTAGAATGGTGGCCACATTGCAAACCTGATTGACAGAATTCAGTCTGCGCCAAAGAAAGGACTAGACACGTCACACTAGTTACTAGTGTCCGATGGAAATTAGCCTATGTCAACAGTTGCGAGTATTTGTCTTCTTTTAACTTCAACTTTCATCATACATTTTGGTGTAGAAAAATTCGAAGGAAATGATTCAGCGAAGAGCCTCTTTTCAACGAATCTGTCATCAAGCTTCACAGTCATATATATATATACATGATATTTTTAAAATAATAATGTGAACTGGGGCAAAAAGTAATTTTTATGTGCTTTATAAAATGGTTCAGGGAATGTATAAATCCCAAAGAATGGTGTAGAAATATTAAGATTAGTAAGCAACTAAAAGTGCGTCGGTGGCATAGCGTTTAGGACGCTCGCCGACCATGCACATGGTCCGGGGTTCGATCCCCGGCCGGCGCACTCCTTTAACTCGCTAAGGCAGGTATAGTGCTGGTGAAGATGAAAGGTTGGGCATGAGGCTAGCAACCCCATCCTGTAAAATAAACACTTCTACAGTAACTTCACGCCCCTAGCTTGAAGCCTTATGTTCCACTAGGAACGTGAAGGAATAAAAAAAAGCAACTAAAACATTACGCAACAAGTTGATAATTGTGATAGGATAACAGTGCAAAATTTTCTATTGAATTAAGTAAATACAGATGACAGATGAGAAATCCTGGAAATTTTATAAAGTGAAATTAATAATAATAATAATAATCGACATATTGAGAGAAGGATACGTAAATTGAATAAACGAAACGAAAAATAAGTAGGGCCAGCGTGTGAATGTAGATTATCATACATCAGCATAGACAGATTAAGATCATGTGAGTTGGAGGAGTTGAACAGACTTTTTCTGTCTACTATGATCTGGCTTTCCTATTTCAATGGCCAAAGCTTCAGCAATACAAATTAGTCAGATACGTAATGATTTAGGCGAGTTATTTTTCGCCTTTGAGATAAGTTTAAAGGAAGAGGTTGTAGAGGTAAGGTTACCATTATCGACCAGATGTTCAGGTATTGTGTTTGTCATGCTGGCGATTCCACTTCTTAGTAACCACGCAGGGAAGTGTTTTTGTACCCTCTTGGACAATACCGAGTCGATTAATCGCTATGCCTAGCCCCACGACACCAAGTGAATTCATAAAAGCACATAGAGTTGGTTAACTGGAGGATCCTGCCTTTCACGCCACTGAACTGTGATGGTCGACTAAGAGACACTCATCAGTGATGCTGCAGAAAATGTCCTTTTCACAGATTGAGAAATCCTTCTTTTAAGGATGTCGGCAGCTAAGTCACCAATTGATTTTAAGGTTCATGTACAGCGTTTTCTTAGTTGCAGACTTTAAATTCTATTTTGATGGGTTTTAACTGCATGTTCTTTTTTAGGAAACCTGGCGGAAACGCGTTTTCCATTAGGATTTTCTTCAGAAGATCTTACTTTTACTTCGCAGAGTCACGACTACAAATGCGCCAAATGCTAATGATAAGTGGTGGAATCAGGTTTCGTTTTTGACCAATAGGTACACAGCTGTAGAAATTTCTCAGCTGACCATTACATGACAGCTTTCTATAAATCGATTTCTTCAGAGTTCAGTCAGTCCTCCTTGATAACCTCACATCAAGAAAATGAATGTTAGACTAGTTCCGCATTTCGAGTGGGGATTCTATCACTGAATGGTAACCATTAATTGCATTTTCTATATGTCCAAAAGGGACTTTTCCACGGATTTTGATATGTGTATATATCTTGCTCTATATTGATACCATGTAATGAGACACTATAACATATAATAGCATGGAGTGAGATGTTACTTCAATAAATTAGTTGTTTTCCCAGTTCACTGCCTTTGTAAACTAGGTGTTCTTTACTTATGAAAGCTTCGAGAGTAGTATCGAATAATGTTGTATATTTTTGAATATTTCTGAGGGATGTTACATGATCTGTCTTTCATTTATTAAGATTTTAGCTCTTTGTTCTCTAAATTTCCGTGCACTTCTATAATACTTTGGCTTTTAAATATTTATATAAGCATAATTGACAGAAATGTTCACCTCCATACATAAATGAAGTTAGATATTTCGCTTTAAGAAGCAAAAGCAATAATGTAGTCACAAAAATTTTTAAACATGCCATCGGACACAGATCTGTAAGTAGTATACTTTAAAACTCATGCTACTGCACAATTTTGTTTTCCATGAGATCTCCTCAAACATTTACAAACTTTACTAATAAATAGTTGGATTCAATCAAGAGCTCACATCAATTAGAGAACTAATGGAAAACTAGGCAGTACTGAACAGTTGTTTCTTCCTAATTTGGGGCTCTTCGTCAGCTCGCACCAACTGGGGTTCACACCCAGGACCTTCCAGTTATAAGGCGAGCTCATAAACTATCCCCCCACTGGGATCTGACCTGACGGACCATGAATTTCAACTTTTTCCAATTTGTGATATACAGCGCTACCGCCAGTCAATATCATAGGTGAGTAACTGTTTCCTCACTCTGACTTTGTGGACCCCATGAACAAACCTACAACTATTTAAATCTCTGCAAACCAACACTTGAAAAAACTAAAAAGTATTTCAGATTTACCCATCGTGGAAATATATCATAAGCATCGTGAGAAAAGAATGGTTTTGAAAACAAATGTTCGAATGTAAGTAGAAGATGAATACGTAGGAAAGAAACAAAAAGATTAGGTAACATGAAACTATAACAGAGCTAGATTAACCAGGTTTTAAGGAGGATGAAATGGTAAGAGAACTAAAATGCACAAGGATGATAGTGCTCAAGGGAGGAAAAATTGCTGCAAAAAAATTCTTCTGAACACAGCTAAGAATCATTAATTATGATGCTAATAGCCTTCACTGGATACCATAAGGGAATACAAAGATCACTAAGAAGATTCGACTAATTGAAATGAATCACTTTGAATGCTTCAGTTTGTTCCACTGAATGCTTACCATCAACGACACGAGAAAAAGTAGGGTTTTGGACATTTCTTATCAGTCCTTTATACAGTACCAATGAGAGATTTTCTGAGACGTGGAGGCTAATCTATTTAGTAGTACTCCTGGTGTAGCTGTCTCCACAGGAATACTGCAATCAATGGATATGCAAGGACGTGGTGGAACTAATGATCTTATTCTTTGTTTAAGTCGCAGTGATTCGCCGGCGAAATAATGTCAAACAAGGGTTTACTGAGTTGAACATCCTCCGAATGGTTTTCATTGGTCTTTGGGACAAACTTATGTCTAACGTATCACCTTTAAATTATAACTTAATAAATAATCAATTTTTACACATAGTTATCGTTTATAGTCTCATGGTGACCATGTAGATATGGATCCCTACTAAGTAATCATAAATAGATTGAATTTCCTGTCACAAATGATTACGAGAGCAAGGCGTGAACAGATACAATTACCAACAGGGTTTTCCTCCTACATGTTTTGACCTAAATTTTAACATGAGAATCTTAAATATATTTTTCCAACCGTCCCAAATGGATGGGGTTGTTTTTAGCCTTCATTCTCGAAGCAATTATTTGAGAACTGAAAATATTCAAGTGTTGGTTTGCAGGGATTTGATTGGTTACGGGATTTCGCCATGAGCTGACATTGGTTAGAGAACCATTGGAAAACCTGGGACGACTGAACAGTTTTTTCCCAGGTTTTACAATAGTTGTCTAACCGATGTCAGCTCATGATGAAATTCTGAAACTGAAATTACCACTGAACCACAACATAGTTTTAACTTAGGCTAGTTAGAATCTTGTTACTAGGTTAGATTATTAATAGAAATCTGCTGAAATTGAAACCGACATTTCAACTCATTCAGTACTGGGGTAGGATATTGTGTGTTTCAGAATTAGATTTGTATTAATACCTGAACATGATAGTTTTAATGGACAATTTCCAATCTTATACAACCAATGACTGATCTAAAGTAAATTTATGCATGCGTCAAAAAATGTTACTGATATATTTTTGTTTAGTAAATTC